AATATTCCAATTAAAAATTGACAGGGAATCTAAATAGACATTTTCCCAAAGCATACATACAGGTCAACAGACACATGAAAAGATGCTAAACCAAATGCAAACCAAAACCAAAATGAAATGTCACTTTACATATGGCAGAATGGCTAGAATAAAAAAGACAAGAAATAGCATGTGTTGGAGAGGATGTGGAGAAAAAGAAACCCTTGTGCACTATTGGTGGGAATGTAAATTGGTGCAGCCTCTGTGGAAAACAGTATGGAAGTTCCTCAAAAAATTAAAAATAGAAATGCTACATGATCCAGTAATTCCACTACTAGAAAAACAAAGAAAACTAAAACACTAATTTGAAAAGATATATGCACCCCTATGTTTATTGCAGCATTATTTACAATAGCCAAGATATAGAAACAACCCAGTGTCCATCGATATATGAATAGATAAAGAAGATGTGGGATACACACACACACACACACACACACACACACACATAGGAATATTACTCAGCCATAAAAAAAGAATGAGATCTTGCCATTTGTGACAACATGGATGGACTTAGAGGGTATTATGCTAAGTGAAATAAGTCAGTCAGAGAAAGACAAATACCGTGTGATTTCACTTATACATAGGATCTAAAAAAAAATAAATGAATAAAATAACACATAAACAAAAAGCAGGAAGAGACCCATACCTACAGAGAACAAACTGGTGGTTGCTAGAGGGGAGGAAGTGGGAGGATGGGAGGATGGGCAAAATGGGTGAAGGGGAGTGGGAGATACAGGCTTCCAGTTATGGAAAGAATAAGTCATGAGAATAAAAGATACAGCATGGGGAATATAGTCCGTGGTTTTAGGACCATTGAATGGTGACAAATGAGCATAGCATAATGTATATATACACTACTGAATTGCTATGTTATATACCTGAAACTAATGTAACTTGTGTGTCTTCTATACTTCAATAACAAAAAATAAAACCCTGTAGGTAGGACCAATATATGAATGTAAGAAATATACATTGAAGCAAAATGCCTGAATAAAGAAAGCATCTAGAGGGCAATAGCTTCTTATATATTTTTACATATACTAATGAATTCACTAAGAGGCTGGGGCATGGGATGCTCCATACCCAGTGCTCTGGAGAAAAATGAAGCAGGGACAAGTGAGATAAAGTGTTAGGGTTTCAGATATGGTGTAGAGTAAAGGCCTCAGAATGGGTGTTTTTAACACTAAAACCAGAAGATACTCAGGCATTGGCTGTTGTGTTCGAAAACAAAAAAGTATTATCCAAGTATTCCATATGTAAGCAGATTATCATTCATATAACAATCAACATATAAAGGAAAATAGACCTCAATATTTAAAATTACCCAAAATATGCAATATATATATTCCAAGCAAATAAAATTCTGGAATGCATATTCCAGCTGAATGAAAGATGAATCAAAATAAAATACTCAAGAGAGGAGAAGGTTTAGCAGGATGATAAGCACTAAACCCTTTTATAGAGAGAATAAAGGATACATAATTATAAATGTGTTCAAAGATAAATACCAATAAAAATGTTTATTCAAAAAGCATGTATGCCAAGAAAATATTGAAGCAAAAGAATATTAGGCTGATCTTGTTCTAAAAAATAAAAACAAACAATAAATTTCATAACAACCAAAGCAATATGGTATTTAAAAAGGACAAGAAAAGGGGCACCTGGTGGCTCAGTCAGTTGAGTGTCCAACTCTGATTTCGGCTCAGGTCATGATCTCAGGGTTGTGGGATCAAGCCCCGAGTCAGGCTCTGCACTGGGTGTGGAGCCTGCTTGGGATTCTCTCTCATCCTCTTCCTTTGCCCCTCCTCCCACACACACTGTCTCAAACAAACAAAAAAGGACAAGAAAAACAGCAGAAGGAAATCGAGTCCAGAAACAAAGACAAGTCCATGTTAGAATGCAGTGTATGATCAAAGTAGTTTTTTAAATTAGTGGATAAAAGGTGCAACATTCAATATATAATCCTAGGGCAATTAGCTGAGACTTAGAATAAAAAATAAACCAGGTCTTTATTTCTTGCAGTAGATAAACAAATCAAAGGCCCAAATATTTTTTTTAAAGCCTAAAATAGTAGATAAAATAAGGGGAAATATTTTTTATATTCTTGAGACAGTGATATCTATTTTTTTTTAAAGATTTTACTTATTTATTTGAGAGAGAGAGACACGGCAAGAGAGGGAACACAAGCAGGGGGAGTGGGAGAGGAGATGCTGGTTTCCTGCAGACCCAGGAACCCGATGTGGGGCTCGATCCCAGACCCTGGGACCATGACCTGAGCCAAAGGCAGACGCTTAATGAATGAGCCACCCAGGCACCCCAAGATAGTGATATCTAACTTTAAATAACATATACATCGTAGATTCAGTAAAGAAAAATAATGACATAATCAACTACATAAAAATTACAAGTCTCAGTTAGGTGGAAGATGTAAGGTTAAAAGACAAATTTCAAAGCACTTCTACACCCACATTTTGTGGTTATTTGCAACATACAAGAGAACACTTGCAACTCCATAACAAAACTTTAAATAACCTGTTTTATAAGTAGGCAAAATATAGGCAATTCAAGAGGTATATAAGGGATGTACAGATTTGATGGGATGCTAGAGCACTGTGCATCAGAACTTGGCAGGAACTAAGCACGTTCGGCAAAGGACACACAGCTAGGCCATGTTGCAGGAGCAGGGGACACAGCCTTGCCACCATCTCTGTGTGTCCCCTCCATCTTCACATCCTCACATAAGAACAGGGTTGTTGGGCAAGTAAGCACCTGGTAAGCTGATCACATGCTTTTCCCCTGGCTCTAGGGAGAGGTGGAAAGAGGAAGGATCTGATGCAATGGCTTTCATAGTGGAAGGTAGTAGCAATGGGAAAGAGGGAAGGAAGGAATACATGAAAGAAGGTAAGATACTAATAGTGTTGAAAATCTACTCCTCGTCAGGACTTTTGCTAGGTTCGTCTACATAATTACCGTATTTTATCTTCATCCGTATTCATTCCATGGCATGGTTTGATGTCTACTATCTTGAAGCATGTGGTCTCTGTGTGCACGGGACCCTGAAGGGTCCATGGGGATCAATAAGTGGATCTAGAAATGCCAAGAGCCAGTAAAGCTTTCTCTCAGTCTCAGCGAGCAAGAATATGGCCTTGCACTTAAGCCACGAGCGCCAACAAATTGCGTACAAAAATAATTCATCTGGAACATGTTGTATCTCAGTGCTCAACAGCTTAGCAGCAGTCCCCACAAGCCATTCCTCAGGTGAGACCAGTGAGGAACCAGAAGAAGCCACTGGACATCAGGCCCCTCTTTTCCCCAGGGCTACCTATCTAGACTCCTTTCAGAATGAAATTTCAAATTGGAGTAAATATTTTTTTTAATTCTGAATCCAAGTGGGTTTGGGCTTATGAGGAATCAGTACAGTTAAAGAGAAATAAATCACAGTTTCTTTGTAAAATGGAATGAAGTGTTAATAAATGTTGGCCCCTCTGTCCAAAAGGAGATTTGCAAAGAAGGAAGGATGTCAGGAAGCAGAGAAAGAGAAACTTACAGGGCTGGTTAATATTCCACTGATGGTGCTTTGTAATACTTAATAATTTTGAATTCACTCCCACCTCAACTGTAAGCAAATGTGTGGAAAATGGGGGAGGGGGCAAAGACCCAGGCATTCGGCCTCCTCACTCTTCCTGTGTTTGCCTTCGCTCTGTAATCCCTCAACCGTAACCACATATGCAGAGATGCATCCACCTTCTTAATACCATATCCTCACTCTCACTCCTTGGTGCACATTAAAACTTTGAACCCTTGTCTGCCAAATCTGCCTCTTGTAACCAAGGAAGATAAAGACATTTAGGAAGTCATTTTCTCTCCTCGCAAAGTTTTGACTTTCAAAGTCCATTGTCTTGCAGTGAACATCAAAACACCAAAAATCCTATTTTAGAGATCAGAGGCCAATATTACCTTCTTCACTTTTACCTTCCTGCTGTAATGATCCCATCAATTCCTAAGCGCTGGCCTTTCAGCATTCCCCATCCCAGGAAAGATGGATGACTCTGGCCCACTGGGGAGAGTCATGTTCTTTAGAAATACAGAATGGGTTGATTAACTTTTCATACTTCCCCACATCCTCAAACGTTCGAGAACATTCTTCCTTAGTGACCAGGACCAGCTTCCTGGGTGTACAGCCTGCACAGTCACACTTAGAAGGACCCTATGCTTTTTTTTTTTAAGTGCTGCTATCACCATATTGACATTCCTAATAATTTTTTAACAAGGGGCTCTGCAAATCATGTAGCTGGCCCTGCCTATGAGTCTGGGCCTTTAGAAAGACCATTCCACCAACAAAAACTCATAGGTGTTTCATAGTCTAGTGTTGCTAAATGTGGTGTGAGCCTACTTTGCCTTATTAACTAGGGGGTTTTTAATTCTCTATTTCTACTATCCCATTTACTCCCTTTCAGGAAGAAGCAAAAACTTTTTGTCAAGGTAAGATTTGTTAACATGAGTACAAATCTCAAGTTTAGGGCAAAGACTGGGTGGGACCAGGCCCCTCAGGAGCAGCAAATACCAGGAGAGAAAGAATGCACCATGCTCAAGCACTCCCTCTGCTCAAGAGCCCATCCCACACCACAGAGAAAGGAGGAAGTAAGAGAGCCCCAGGCACCCACCTGCCCACCCAGCCCAACCTCCTGAGAGGGCAGAGATAACAGAGGACCACCCCTCCATGGTCCAAGCAACACCATTGTAAAAAGCATGTGAGATTGCGGTCTCAGGACAAACAACGATGTTTGTTATTGATCCCAAATTACATGTGTAGGACATATCTTCCCAGTGATGGCACAGTTGATGTCCTGTATAAACTGCATGATCTTGTGTTAGCCTGGGTAACAGCGTGTAAGACAAATATATTTCAATATGAAGGACAGACGAATTTTAATGTGCATGAATGTGAACTTACTTACCATCCAGTAAAGTTTCACGACATACTTTCCATAGTTATTGAATAAAGGCATGTGACCTTTCACAGCCTTGCACAGAGAGTAGATGTGTTCCCAGGGCTTCCAGCTGAGAGGAGGAGGTTCCCCTGCATTCCCTTTAAAGTAATTGTTCAAAGTAGCTCCATTGAATATCTTCCACACTGCATAGATTTCACTGATAATCCATCTCATCAGCTAGAGACAAAAGCCATTAGTGTTAATCAGTTGCTCTTCCATTGTTGGTACTGTAATTTAGGCGGGAAACCCGTCGAAAACCTACTTCCAATCTACTTTTTCATATTAAATTCTACATGTAATGTGCTCCACATTTTGATTTCTGACCTTATAGAATAAAGTCATAGTTCTTGTCTTTGTTGTCAGGAAATATAGTCACAATACAGGCTAAAAAGAATTAACATTAAACACTCAGCTAAGAGCTGTTTCCAGAGTAAACGGTCAGTGGTTTGACATTGACCTCCATTTGACATTGACCTTCATTTGACATTGACCTTTATTTCAGCTGTGTGTGTGTGTGACACAGAAAGAGAGAGAGAGAGAGAATGAATGCTTCTGAGAGCTGGGGTGATTTTATTTTGGAATTAACTTTTTATAAATTATTAAGCTACCCCTCTGTAAAGGTTGAGAAGTTTGAGAAGAAAATGATCTCTTTTATGTCAATAGGATCAGCTAGACGAGGAATGAGATATGAGAAAGAATTAAAATTGTGCACACGTTTAAATATCCTCTAAGTCTCATATTTCATATGCCAATCTGTAGGTGCAGAAGTGCTCTAAGTAAAATTCCCACTTGCAGAGTTTTCAACAGGCTGCAAGGCACAGTGGGGAGTTAAGCTTCAGAGCCGAAACAGACCAGGATTTGAATTTTCCTTCAGATCCTTCTGCTCTGGGGCATGTCATTTCACCATCTCTAAATTGCAGTTTATGTAATGCAGTCTGTAAAATGCAGATTATGCTATCTATTTTCCAGCATTTTATAGGGAATAGAAACAATGTATAAAAAATCTCTGGGTCAAGTGGGTTTTAAGTAAAGACATTACCCTTAGTATTACCGGATTTTCTGAAATAATCATCTCGTATTTCACTGCCTGGTTTATAAGAAGATTAAATACTTGAGACTAACCTTATAAGATTTATGTTTTCCTTAATTTACATTATCTAGGACATTTCTTCAGGTTTAGTTTAGTTGAAAAAGAAAGGTAAATCAAGTATCTTCCTGTATGTATATCTGGGAATTTTGCTATAGAATATTTTATACTTCCTTAAAAAATGAAAAGTTGAAGTCTGTGCATGCTTTGGATCATAAAATAAGCATATTTTAGACTAAAATATAAAGTATAAAACAGTTCAGAGATAACATTATACAATCAGTACATCCTGGTTGAAGAAAGAAATGTTTTGACTTTAATATTGGTCAGAATCAATAATGACTATTAATTCTGACTGGGTCAGAATTTTTTTCTGGGAGAAAATAATTTTTTAAAAAATGCCCTGCTTCTGATATAACCACCTTAGGGGAGTGGAACAGGTCTACTTCTGATGGAGAAAATCCAGGGTAGAAATTTCAGTGGAGGTGTTTAGGTGAGATTTTCCCTGCATTAGCATGTCAAACATCAGGACACCCTGCCCTTGAGCATCATGCAGAGCAAGTTCCAAGCAACTTCATGTCAATTGCTAGGCACGTGCATCAAGAGGAGAAATACCCAGATCGGTGAGATCCCAGCTACTCTGGGTCTAAGGGCAGGAGAATAGGGGCACGGCAATGCTAACAGCTAACATTTTCCTACCATTTGCTCATTAAACTCAATTGAAGAGGCTTCTCTTCCTCTTTGAATGTCTGGCTTATAAAATACTGAGTTATACCAAAACTTAGAGGTGAGCAAGGGAGAACTGAAATTGACGGTCTGGGAACTGTTTTAAGCAGGTCTGGAAGGTATTCTGCAATCAGGCTTCAGTTAAAACTTCCCTACATACCTCACTGCAGAGTAAATGTTCATTTGCTGAAAACAAGTCAAACAGGATTTCATTTTTCACAACTACTGGAGCCTGAAATTAAAAATATATGTAAAAAGAGATATTAGTCCTTAGGAAAAATAAAGGAAATGTAGCTGAATGGAAATATAGTTTCATTTGATATAAACAAGTCAAACCTGATCTCATTTCTCACAACCAGAGGAATTAAAAGAAAAAATAAATAAATAAAGCTCATTATTCCATAAGATAACCCTGTTAGAGCTACGGGTGACATTCACTTAATAATGTAATGCCTATCAAACACAGTATTTTCATATACAAATGAAATGTTGTAAGATATAATATATGCGGATGATCTCAGCATGCATACACACATAATCTGAGAGTTTAAAAAATGATTTGAAATTTATATTAATCTTTCAAGTTAAACCTGAAGCTTAGTTAACACATGCTAGCAGGAAAAATATCTTCATCCCTTTGATAAAAAATATTAGGTATGACAGCTTTTTAAAATCTTGCCCAATTTCAAATCCTCTTATCTCTTAAAAAAATCATCTGATGGTCATTATTTAATTGGCATATATCTAAAGATGCTTTTATATATTTAGACCACTAAGGAATAAACATAATAAGGGAAAATATGATTTATAACAGTTTTTAAAAATTTGTTACAATTCATATCGAGCTTATATACTTAACATATCAAATTAACATAAATGCGGTTTTCATTAATAAAATAGATTTTCATGGAAACTAATGCCTTCAACTATTCTCAATCACATGTATAACTAGCATCTTGAAAACTCAATAAAATATTTCTTTATGTCTGAGAAAAATTAACTCCAAGCTACCCTGAAGGCCTGAATTGACTCTTAGTTTATAATTTATGATCATAATAAGGTACATATATGTATTATATAAAATATTTCATACAAAAACGTATATTTTAAATTCTGGTTTGGCTAATTGCACTTCTAAAATGCCCATACTCGGGGCACCTGAGTGGCTCAGTCGTTAAGCGTCTGCCTTTGGCTCGGGCATGATCCCGGGGTCCTCGGATTGAGCCCAGCATCGGGCTCCCTGCTCCGCGGGAAGCCTTTTTCTCCCTCTCCCACTCCCCTTGCTTGCGTTCCGTCTCTCACTGTGTCCCTCTCTGTCATATAAATAAAATCTTTAAAAACTAAAAAAATAAAATGCCCATACTCTTCAGCAAGTACCAACGAACATTAAAATTGATTATGGATTAAATAAATATTGAATAACTAAAATTTGAGGAGCGAAATTTAATATTTGCCTGCCAACAAATATAAAATAAAAACTGATGGTGTGTAAAAGACAGCAAATATTAAGAAAGAAGTCTCTACGGAGGTCTCTATTCCCTATACCTGTACTTGAGACAGAATACATCTCCGGACATCTTACATCTATTCAATATAATCATCACTCAAGGACCTGAACCATCAATACCTGATTCTCAGAAATAAACAAATCTGATCATTCCCTCAGTGGTCAGCGTTTATTAACCTCCTCAGTTGTATAATCCATGTTGATTCTGATATCTTAAGTCCAGGCTTTTAAGTTTTTTCATAATTTAGCTTCTCTCTGACTTAAATCATGTCCTCTGACTTCACCTTTGGCTTAGAGTAAAATAGAGTAAATCTCACACAGAAAGGTCATTATTGTTTTGCTAAATTTTTGTCTAAGCTTTCTATATGCCCACGTTTAATGAGCGTCAATGTAAAATGTATTTACCACCGTGGATCTAGACATTAAAACTTGAAAAACATTATTCTAAGACTATCCTAGTTAGCTAGACTTTCAGCTGTGGCTGTTCTGGTCCATACTTCAGGGGGAGTCCGTGCACAAGATAAAGAGAAAAAGTCAGCACAGAACAGAGGTGTTGAGATGGGCGGCAACATTACGATAAAGGTAGGGAGAAGTGTCATCATCATCAACAATGGATGAATTTGGGGCGCCTCGGTGGCTCAGTCATTAAATGTCTGCCTTCGGCTCAGGTCATGAACCCAGGGTCCTGGGATCGAGCCCCGCATCGGGCTCCCTGCTCGGCGGGAAGCCTGCTTCTCCCTCTCCCACTCCCCCTGCTTGTGTTCCCTCTCTCGCTGTGTCTCTCTCTGTCAAATAAATAAAAATAAAATCTTAAAAAAAAAAAAACAATGGATGAATTTACTTATAATATAAGCATTATCTCTCAGAATGTTATGTTAAAGAAAAGGTGGTGTAAAAAGAAAGGTATGTTAAAAAGAAAAAGGTGGTGTAAAACTTTCCTACTTATTCACATTTGAAACGCTCTCACTTCAGGGACTTAATATCCTTTATTTGCATGGAACGTAAACTCTGCACTGCCATTGCACAGAGCCTGAATATTATTACTAGTACGCTATTATTAAGTGCACTATATTAACACCAAAGAATTTATATTCTTCATGCCAATATTATCTAACATTATAAGTAATTTAAAGACATGTTCATATACATCTGATTTATTTAAAATATCTTACAAGTAGGCATTCAATAAATATTCTGTTGACATATACCTTATTTTTTCATTTTACTAAATATCTTTGAATTTAGGATTATCTTTCTCAGCTAGTAACGGTAATTGGAAGTATGGTGGATAAATTGTATTTTCTTGCAATAGTAGCAGTGCTTATAAAGGTTAAAAATTTTAGGAATAAAATCACTTTGTGTGAAACTGAGATTCAATGGATTCTATAATAAACGGAAGAATCAGCTCCTTTACAACCATTTGATTAACACTAAATAATTATTGTAGCCTACTGGTTTTCCATGCATTAAATGAAAATGATAGGAGATTCATAAAGGAAAAAAAGGAATTGGTGATAATTAGGCCCTTGGAAACAGCAAATATATTCAAACCAACATGGCTGTTAAGAAGACAGACCAGTGGATCTAAAGTTTTCATGTACATAGTGCTATTTAAAAGGATGTTCTCTGGTGATGTCCCAGTCAATGTGATTCAAGTTGCTGAGCATCGAGTCCAGAAATGAAGATGGCCCTTGGAAAATGCTTCAAGAATACCTGGAATGCAGAGAGCCAAGTGCAAATCTCCTGGGCTAGAAAATTAATGCTAATAAACACTATAGTAAACAGACCTTCGGGCCACATAAGTTCCTGCTAAGCAGCAGTAAAGGGAAATTCTGTCAGTCAGAAATTAAAGAATAACTTCCCACACATTTTAGGCTCTCCTTTGATATCATGGAGAAAGGAAGAAAACTCAAGACTCTAAACAAAATTTCAATATTCTCTTGGGAGCCAGTACAAGTGATATTAAACTATGCTGATAAACATTTATTTCTATTAAGTGCCAAAAAGTAATTCCTTTTTCTTACTGAATACCATGGGAAAAATTTACCCTACGTTGTTTTAAAAATGAGAATTTTCATAACTAGGATATTATAACCTACAGCTAACATGTATTTTGTTCAATAGTGAAAATATTTCTTACCCGATTAATTAAAAAATCCTGTGGACGTTTCCAGGAATAAATTTTCAACGATGGTGGTAATTCAATCTTTCCTTCAGGGTCTTCAAAAAAATGCTATATAAAAAATATATTGAGTTTTTTTCTCCATACGGTTCTAAAACAATGAAAGCAACTCAGTCCTAATAGAAATCAGTAAGTGCATAGATTCGATCAATAAATACACATTTATAGAGCAATTTGTGTAATTGCTCTCAGAGCTAGTTCATGGAGTATTTGGTGAATAGTGAAGTTAATAATACTGTATTTAATGAACGAAACCTCGATTGTTGAGTAACATTTTGTTGCAGAGGAAGCAGTCCAAACGAGCATGAGCTGCTTTGTAATGTGCGGTAGGTATGGTAGGAAAACAAATTGAATGGGCCAGATATGGACATATTTTCCACTGAAAATAATGGGTTTTTTTTTAACTTGAGTAGAGAAGATTAAAAAATCATAAATACAATCGTATGCCAATGAAATTTGTACCTTGGATCTGACTTTCACTTATTAATTTTTAAAATTAAACATGTTATTTTGAGATCATTATAGATACACACCTCATGCTGTGGAATAATAAAGAGAGTTCCTGTGTTCTCTTCACTCAGTTTCTCCAGTGGTAAAATCTTCTAAAACCACAGCGCAATTTCACAACCAGGATACTGACATTGACACAGGCATGATAAAGAATGGTTCCAGCAGCACAAGGATCCTTCCTAGGACCTTTTATGGCCATGCCCACCCTCCAACCTCCTTACCACCTGTTTAATCCCTACCACCTGGCAATCATTAATCTAGTCTCTTTTTGTCATTTCAATAATATTATATGAGGGGCACCTGGGTGGCTCAGTTGGTTAAACCTCTGACTCTTGGTTTCAGCTCAGGTCATGATCTTGGGGTAGTGAGATCCAGCCCTGCTTTGGGCTCTGCGCTCAGCGGGGAGTCTGCTTGAGATTCTCACTCACTCTCCCTCTGCCCCTTCCTCTGCTTTCACATGCATGTTCTCTCTCTCAAATAAATAAATAAATAAATAAATAAATCTTCAAAAAAAATAATGTTGTATGAATGGAATCATAGAGCATGTAACCTTGTGGATTATTTTTTCCCCCTCTCTGCCTAATTCCCTAGATATTCAATTTATTCAAGCTGTTGCATGTATCAAAAGTTTCTTCTTGTTTATTGCTGAGTAACATTTCACGATATGGATATTTGTTTGTTTACCATCTGTCCATTGAAGGACATTTGGGCTGTTTCCAATTTAGGGCTATTACTTATAAAGCTACTATAAATTTTTGCATACAGCTTACAAGTTTTTATATGAACATAAGTTTCTATTTCTCTGAGATAAATGCCCAAGAATGTAATTAATTTATTAATTTTTGAGCCCTTAGTATGGGTCAATTAGTGAGCTCTGGAAGAAGAATGATATCCAAATGTCTATTCTCAAATGCTAGCAATATAGTAAATTAGACTTCAAGTAGCTACTATGTAAAAGTTCTCACAGTTCCTAAGGTAGTTAGGTTGTGGGGGTGGTCCTTACAGAAAATGAAAAGTGCTGGGAGTACAAAAACAATGCTGTAGGAATAGAAACTATCTGTATTGAGAAAAAGATTTTCACCTGAGTTAATAGTGACAGGGTCAAGTAAATACCATTTTGTGATTTTTATGGTAATCATATTTTTATCCGAATGTTAGTGTGACCTGAGAAATGGGTTATATTTGAGGGTACTGTCTGAGCTTTACACAAAGTGTCTATGTGTATCTGAAGCATATTTAAGATACTGGAAAACTTTGAATGAAGACAAAGGCAATCCCAACATCTAGTCAAAATGATCAAAGAATGAGTCCCTGAACAATAGACTGAAGTTTCCAAGAGCCATGCTAGACTTCTGGGGTTGCCTCACGTCGTTTTTTTTTTTTTTGTCCCTTACAAATATTAATTCAGTTATTTTAAGGTCCCTTATCTGACAATTCCAAAATCAGAGTCACCTGTGGATCTATTTCTATTATTTAATTTTTCCTCTTGTTTTTCAGCCACTTAGTCTTTTTCTTTTCAGGTGTGGTAAATTTTGATTGTATGATATATGTTGCATATAAAAATGTACATGAGTGCTAGGTAATGATGTTTTCCTCCAGAGAGGAGGATTTCATTCCTTTCTGGCAGGCAAAGTACAAAATGAACTTGACCCTGTCAACACTGGGTCTCCGGATTTGGTAGGATTGGTGTAGGTTTGGTTTTCCCTTACTCAGTACAGCCATGTTGGGGTACAAACTGAAAGGATGGAGTTTCTGAGTTCTTTCACCTTGGTATACCCTAAATTCTGATCTCTTGTCATAGCATCATGAAATATTTTCTCAGTTATTTAGCTTCCAATCTGTTGCTTTCCACTCATTTGCTCATTTGCTTCTATTATAAAATTTAAGACTAAGATGAACTCTCGTCACACTCAAGTAGACTTACAAATAGAGGGCTTTTTCCTGTTTTGTCCTTTTCTTTTCCACCTTTGCCTGCATCCCACTTCTCTGCGTTTATGTCCGCCTCGCTCCATTCTGGCCAGATTGGGAATTTCCCCTTCTTCTGCTCCACGGAACTAGGTTGCACATTACTGCCAAAGTAGTACTGCCTAGAGACAGAGCAGGGAGGTGGGTTAGTTGTAAGTCAAATCTCTGAGGTAAAATATTAGATTCATTGCATGGTATAAATTTAATGATCTTGTCAGCAGTCACGTTAAAGGCATTTTTCGATAGTCTTACCGGTAGCCAGACAGCTTCCACAGGTTAGGGTTCAAAAAACTAAAATACCCAAAGAGATTATTCCATAAATTTTGAGCCTTAGGCCCTACTTACTAATGCAGGACATTCATCACAAACACATAAAATGCCATGAAGGGGAATATTTATATACAATTCACACTTAAAATCCTTTACACGTATAATATTAATGGCTTTTTGAAGATCAGTACAAATATAATTTTGACTTTTCCCAGTATAAGAGTGCTATGTGATCATTATTTTAAAATAAATTTTTTTTAAATTACATAAGTAGGAGAGACATGCCCGCTCCATTAACATTGTTAACGACTGTCCATTCTGTAAGACTAATGCAAGGATACACATTTCTTCTTCAAAAATAACGTCATTCAGCACATTACAGACTGTTTCTTTCCATTTATCAGTATACTGCAAATAGTTCCTATGTCAATGAGAATTTATCTAAATACAAATTTAATGATTCCATACTGTTCCATTGTATAAATACACTTCCTTTTGTTTAATTAAGTTTCTATATTTAAAAATTTGAAGGTTTTGATTTAAAAATTTTTTCACTATTATATATATTTTTAAGACTTTATTTATTTATTTGACATAGAGAAAGAGAGAGAGCACTAGCAGGGGGAGAGGCAGAGGAAGAGGGAGAAGCAGATTCCCCACCTGAGCAGGGAGCCCAACACAGGGCTCAATCCCAGGACCCCAGGATCATGACCTGAGCTGAAGGCACACTATTAACCAACTGAGCCACCAGGCGCCCCTTTTTCACTATTATAAACAAGACTTTGGTAGCTTTCCTTATTGACAAATCTTTGCATACACTATTAATTCTTTCCTTAGGATAGGTTTTAATAAGAGTACTTACAGTACCCAAATATATGCGTATTTAAAATTTGTGATATATTTTCACTAATTATCTACAGAGAAGTTGGACTTGTTTTCTACACTCATTATTAACATATTACAATTTCATATCTCTAAACCTTGACTTTTACCTTTTCTTTTTTTTTTTTTTAAGATTTTATTTATTTATTTGAGAGAGAGGATGAGATAGAGACAGCATGAGACGGAGGGAGGGTCAGAGGGAGAAGCAGGCTCCCCGCTGAGCAGGGAGCCCTATGCGGGACTGGATCCAGGGACTCCGGGATCATGACCTGAGCCGAAGGCAGTCGCTTAACCAACTGAGCCACCCAGGCGCCCCTACCTTTTCTTTATTATTATGTTTTAAAGTCTAATTTTTTAAAATTTATTTATTCATTTGAGAGAGAGCACACGCACGCGCATGAGCCCATGCGCACCAGTGTCTTGTTTAATTTTTCAAGTTTTAACTATGAATGACTGGACCCCTGCTCTAGACCCTGGGATAAGCAGTGAACAAACCAGACTAAGATCTCTACCCTTATAGAGTTCATATTCTAGTGGGAGGAGATATAAATCACAGCATAAATTAAGTAAAATATATAGTGCATTAGAAAGTGAAAAATGCTAGGAGGAAATATAAAATAGGAAGGGGGAACTGAAGTGTTAAGGTACACAATTTTTAATATAGTGGTTAAGGAAAGCACTCCATAATAGGGTAATAGTTAAGTCAATAGTGAAAGAACATAAAGGATCGAGCTATGTGGATCTGTGGAAAGACTGTTCTGGAAACAGGAAACGGCAAGTACAAACAGAAAGGCAGAGTTTCCAGATGCAGAGAGCATCCTGGCTTATTTGAAGAATAAAGATATCAGTGAGGCTGAGGGAAAGTAAAAGGAGATAATTGCAGAGAGGTAACAGGAGATGCAGAGATTATAAAGGTGATCTAAGCCAAAGGAAGGACATTGGTTTCCCTAGGTGAGAAGGGAAGCCACAGGAGAGTTTTGAGCAGGAAAGTCTGTAATCATTCATTCTTGCTGCTATGTTGAGAAAAGGCCAAAGGAAACAAGAGAGAGAATTTAGAAGACGCTGAAATAACAGGTAAAAGCTAGTGGTGATTTGGACCAGGTTGCTAAGAGTAGAGGCAGCAAGAGAGAGAGTCCCCTGTTTTTAAGAGAAAGCCAATAGATTGAATTGATGTTTCCTGTAAGACAGAAGACAGTGGGATTGGGCAAAACTGAGGTAAGAAGAAAGCAGCGTTTCACTTCCAAATGAACTGTGTTTTAAAGGTTTATCACATGTTTACGGAGATGTTGAATAGTTCAGCATAGGATTCTGAGGCTTTGGGAAAAAGAATTAGTCTAAAAGTGAAAATTTGAGTCATCAGCATTTAGATGATATTAAAGTCTTAAGACTGGATTAAATCACCAAGAAAATGACCATACCTAAGGAATAGACACTCGCAGGAAGGCTATTCAAGATACTTAACAACTGGTAAGGAAGGAGCATTGACCAATCCTCAAAGACCTCTAGTTATGCGAGACATTATTTACTTTGAGTAGTGGGATCAGGGATATGAGGTCCTCAGGGTAGGTCAGGGGCTCAGGGCAGGAGGCAGAAATGTCTGGGGCTCAAGGTTATTGGTAAGGTTATTGTTAAGGCTACTCAACAATCAACATTAAAATATTTCAATATTCTAACCATCAGTACAGCTGTAGAGCTGCCCTGATACTCCATGTGAAATGTCAGAAAGAGTAGGAAGAAAACTGAGAAAAGGGCGCCTGGGTGGCTCAGTTGGTTAAGCGACTGCCTTCGGCTCAGGTCATGATCCTGGAGTCCCTGGATCGAGTCCCACATCGGGCTCCCTGCTCGGCAGGGAGACTGCTTCTCCCTCTGACCCTCCCCCCTCTCATGTGCTCTCTCTCATTCTCTCTCTCTCTCAGATAAATAAATAAAATCTTTTAAAAAAAAAAAAACTGAGAAAAGCAGTCTGTGAGTGTGGTGGACAGGATAATGCATCTTCTCCCGCCACCCCCCACCTCCGCCAATATATCCACACCCTAATCTCAGAACTGGGGGATATGTTACCTTCCATGGCAAGTGAGGGTTTGTAGACAACTTTAAGTATTTGAGGTGGGAGCTTATCCTGGATTATCTGCATGGGTTCAATGCAGTCATAAGTGTTCTCAAAAGTAGAAGAAGGAGACAGAAGTCATCAGAGGGAGATTTGACTCCAGAAGATTGAATAGAAAAATGCAAAACTGCTGGTTCTGAAGACAGAAGGAGGAGGCCACATGCCAAAGAGACTGAGCAGCTTCTCGAAGCTGAACAAGGCAAGGAAATGGATTCTCTCCGTGAGCCTCTAGAGAGGAACGCAGCCCTGCTGGTACCTTCGTGTTAGCTCAGTGAGACCCATTTTGGACTTTGGACCTCGAGGATTGCACAATTACAGTTTTGTACTGTTTAAGCCACTAAGTTTGTGGTATTTTATGATAGCAGTGTTAGGAAACAGTGACAGGAATAAAACAGTAGAGGGTTACACCTTGGAAGTCAAGTAAAACATTTTTTTTAAGTAAGAGAATGCACAGCAGATCCAAATGCTGCTAATAGATCAACAGAATGAAATAGGAACAAATAAATGTTGAATTTAGCAACAAGAAGGTGAAAGGTCTCTCTCAAATTTCACCTTCTGGGGCTGGGGGTGGAGGGACTCTCTCGAACACCCTATCTAGTATGGCTACCTCTCTGCATCCTTTTATACTGCTTCATTTTTATAGCACTTGGCAGTTCTCTCACTAATCCTTCAGTGCTTGTGTGTTTCCACAGGTAGGCTTTGTAAGTTTCACAGGAGTAGGATCAGTGGGTTTTTTGTTCACTCCGCCTATCTCCAGCGATTGAAACAGTGCCAGGATAACATAGGAAATCGGTCTCCTGTCTCTCTGTCATCTATTTACATGAAATGAAAAAATGAATGTCTTTATGTACTATTTCTATCATTTCTAATTAGAACTGTTTCAAGGTTTTGGGGCGCCTGGGTGGCTCAGTCGTTAAGCGTCTGCCTTCGGCTCAGGTCATGACCCAGGGTCCTGGGATCGAGCCCCGCATCGGGCTCCCTCCTCAGCCAGGGGCCTGCTTCTCCCTCTCCCACTACCCCTGCTTGTGTTCCCTCTCTAGCTGTCTCTCTCTATGTCAAATAAATAAATAAAATCTTTAAAAATAAATAAAACCCTTTTGTTAAAAAAAAAAAAGTTTCAAGGTTTTACGTATAGGTAGAGATAGATCAGATGGCTCACCAGTCCTGTTTCTCATTTCCTACATTTCCCAATCCTTTGCAATTTGGCTGGTACTTTGTGGTGGTGTTTTGGACAATAGTATGTATGGGAATGTGTTGTGTCCTACCTCTAAGCTCATAAAACATCCTACGAGATACTTGTCAGCATGCTCAATCCTTCAGAGAAGATCTTAGGAAATGCTAATTGATGTGGTTTTGGAATATAGGTGAGGTTTGGTGAGGTGAAGTCCAGAGCTGATGACCAAGAAAGAATTCTTGAGACGTCTTTGGTGCAAAATGGTGGTTTATTAAAGCCCGGGGACAGGACCCGTGGGCAGAAAGAGCTGCCACAGCAGGGTTGTGAGGGATGGCTGATTGTATACCATGGGGTTGGGGAAGGGAAAAGAAGGGGACGTTTCAAAAGGATTTTCATATGTTAAAGAAGACTCACAGGATACCTCAGGCCTTGTCATTGTCAAGTTAGGGTTGTTTTTTCCTCTAGCAAGGCATTAACATGAAGATAGTTGGGAGCTTTCTGGAGGAACATAACACTGCCCACTTCAAGTATCTGTCAATGAGCTGCAGGTTATAAGGACATTTAATTGTATCTGCACTTCCTTCTGGAAGCTAGGTTATTGATAGAAATGCTTTGTTCTTATAGATTGCTAAGACATTTGTAAACTGAGGGAGACTCAGGAGACTCAGCCTTGCAGGATTGTGATCTCT